TACCAATGTTGTATTTTAAGAGTTCATTTCTAATTGGTTTAATAAGCATTTATTAAGCGTATATTATGGGCTTATAATCACTATAAACACATTTATTTGAAAATGGACCTATAATTTATCAGAAAAATAATATTACACATGGAAGTCACAGTTCTAGGAATGGCTATCATATTTAGCCAATAATATATGTGAACATAATGTATGCAATATTTAAATTATCAAATGGACTTTTGTGAAGTGTTATAGAAAACCAGCTTCCCATTTATAAGGTGATTTTTTATGGAAAATGTGGGTCAAGTTGGAAACGATGTGGAACTAGAAAAGGAATTTACTCCTTCAAATTAGAGTTGCCCTCCTGAATTTGGGAATTGGGAACTTTTTGAATAGGTTTCTGATAAATCAAAGGAAAGGACATGTGGTGATTTGTGGAGTATGTCTTATTCTTCATGAGCACTCCACTCCTTTTACTGCCAACAGATTAATCAGTTAAAGAGGACAATGTGACTATTGAAAGGAAGAAGAGAGAAACTTTTCTTTAGCATTACTAAAATTATCTTTAGATTATCTTAAAATACTCCTGGTCTGCATGGAATGAAATAAAAGTTGCATACAGTTCTTTTATTTTTTTTAATTATCATGGGCACGTAATAGTTGTGTATCTTTATGAGGGTACATGTGATGTTTTGATGCAGGCATACAGTATTAATCAAATCAGGGTAATTGGAGTATCCATCACCTTAGGTGTTTATCATTTCTTTGTGTTAGGAACATTCCAATTCCACTCATAGTTATTTTAAAGTATACCCTAACTTATTGTTGATTATAGTCACTTTGTTGTACTATCAAATATTTGTTCATTTTAACTATCTAACTATATTTATGCACCTATTAACCATCTCCACTTTATCCCCACTCCCCGCTACCATTCCCAGCTTCTGGTAACCATCATTCTACTGTCTGTCTCCAGGAGATCAATTGTTTTTAATATTTAGCTCCCATGTATAAGTGAGAGCACACAAGATTTGTCTTTCTGTGCTTGACTTTTCACTTAATATAATGTTCTCTAGTTGCATCCATGTTGTTGCAAATGGCAGAATTTCATTCTTTTTGATGGCCATATAATATTCCATTATCTTTATGTACCACAATTTCTTTATTCATTCAAATGTTTTTGGACACATAGGCTGATTCCAAGTCTT